TGCATCTCCTCAATTTCTTCCCAACCTTAGTCCACTGAACTTCTCCATTTTCCTTTCGAATCCACTTTCAACTTTCCTGTCTTTCTCCTATTCTTCATCCCAATGGGCAGCCAAAAGGCAGCAACCAAAACCGGCGCACGAAAGTGCATGGTTAATGGTTGTTCAAACTGAAAACTGAAAAACGCATGCTTCAACTTATCGTTCATCGCCCGAAATTGTCTCCTCAGTCAGCTCATCCTCGCTCGCGTGGCCCAGCTGTTTGCACCCGTAATGAGCAGGAACAAATTAATAGCGGGACAAAATTAGATCTTCAATAAACTTTACTTGTGTCTTATGGGACCCAAAGCGAAAGCTCACAATCTGCCAGGATTGACATAAGGACAGGTGGCGTCTGAAAAATCAACTCAGAAAACGTTTTAAATAATAAAACTGGTAAGTTGAGATTTCCGGTGAAACGGAAGTAGCCTCTACATCATGGGATAAATGAAGACACCGAGGGTTCTGGCATGCTGGTGAGCGGAGCTGTCAGCGATAAAAATTAGATGAGGCATGCTCAACAAGAAACGACAACTTGGTCTCTGGTAGAGTATTTGAACTAGCACGTCAACTGGTCTGGTGCTTTCGCACCTGTCTCTACGATTTCATGCGAAGCTCCATGTGCGGTATAAATGAGCCCATACTAAAGCACAACTACAACATTGTTCTCAATCGTTGAAGGAAAAATAGCTGGTCTTCGCCTCATTCTGTTTATTATGGGTTTAATTCTCCTCAATTCCATTACTGCTATACGACACTGTATTCAGTCGGAAGGTTGTGTCCTATCATCCCAGGCGAGTTATTTTTCGTTACAATCATCATTACGTCCGCCATCATCCAGATGATGATCGTGGTTGATTCCCTTGACCAGTCCATTTACTGACCTTATCGACCCATGCTACATACGCAAGCGAATTGTCTATTTATCTCATTCATGTTCAGTACAGTACCTTCCATTTCTTGTCCTGTGCCCTGTCGTAAACAGAATATGAAGCCCTAATTTTGTACTGAAAGTTGCTCTGCGGAGCATAATCGAATGTTTGAACGAACGTCTTCTTGCAAAGATGTATAGACACAGTAGGAAGAAGACTGAAAGAAATATTAGATCATAAAGACGGGCATAACGCTAACTGCGACGCAAACGTTTGCTCGCATCTACTACATCACCAACCCATGACATGATTTGGCGCTAGTTTCATGTGACGCAGCAGGCGAACATTCCCACGCATGGTCTTATTTTTCAGGGACCGTTAATGCACTATACAGCCGAACTGCCCTTATCTGTCTTCAAAGCTTGTGTTATATGGGATGGTCATAGTGCTTCAAAAACAACATTTTCGCTGGGTCAAATAGGGATAGATAGCGCAAGAGTACAAAATGGCATTTGGAACATTGAAGACATTCTGGTGGGTATTAAGCAATATTACCAAGTGTCAAGCAAACCTGCTTGGCATCAAAAGCAAAAAAACTTCACTCGAAGTGCCGTCTCACGTAGTTTCACCATTTTAGCGTAACGGAAATGTAGCCACATTAACAAGGTTTGGCCAAAGATCCACACTGTGCTGCAAGATTGTTCGTTGATTTTAATTCATCTTTGCTATGTGAATCCTACGGGGTTCGTCTCTGTAGGTTGTACGTTCAATGCTAGTAACCTTTCTTAATGTGAAATCGATCTGTCCAAAAGCATCCTATATAGCACCATCTGTTTGCTCCATTATCAGCTACAATATCTATCGACGACATGCAGCCATACGCCGAGCAGCAGCGGAAGCCCAACGAAATCAAGCGGAAGCGGCTCAACGTTCCACAAATTCACCATCTTCTGAGTCCAGTCAAACAGAGATTCCAAATGTGAGTTTCTTTTCAGATGCCGAGATATCTGTTTCATCGATCTCCGATGTGCTCTTTATCATACAACCGTTCGTATGTTTTGTGAAGTGCATTGTCCTATGTACTTCGAATTTTTGTCTCTGGGTTATTTTTAAGTTGTACCAATGTATCAGCCAGCTCGGGTACGCATTGAACTTTCTAAATGTTTGAGATTTTTCTGCCTCTGTATTTCCTAATTTAATGAGTGCTTGCGGTAAGTTTGATTAACAAAACTTTCGCTAATTCAATCGCGTGTCATATAACATAATGTAAACCAACCGGGGTTTTCATTGGCTCAGTAGCTTGCAACTTTGGGTAATTATTGCGGAATTCCATCTTGTTAATTTANCCCCCCCCCCCCCCGACAATAACACGGAGAGAAAACAGCTGGAGACAACCAGTCAACGTGTATTTTGTTAAGATTTTGATAAGCAAAAAATGGAACAAACTCACGCATACGAGAATGGCGCATTGACGCACCAATCAGATTGCGTCCTTGACATATTGATTGATCGATCGGACGAACACTGTTTGACTCGTCCTGTGCTCATCCAATCGGGCTCAGCCTGCCTGGAGTGTTGCGAGCGTGCGTGTGACCTACCTTGGATGCGTGTGTGATCTGACTGGTTGTTTAAGATCCGTCCTAACAATCACTACCAGACGATGACCTCAGTTTTTGAACAGCATTGAAAAACACTAATCGAAATGCCCGTGATTAGTCTACTAACCGTCTAGTAAACCCCATCAGAATGCTGGGTGAGTAAGTTGATCAACACACTATATTTGACTGGTGAAGGATCTAATGTGAATTTGAATAAAACCGGAAAAAGCAAAAAATGGAAAACTGGAAGTAAAGTTGCTTACTCTTGCAACTTGTTGTCTTGCACAATTTTTTCGTGTTATACCGTGTATGGCTAAAGTGGGTCAGTTGAATCAACTTCAGAGCGGCCAAGTGGATGCTGCTTTTGGGTTCTGCCTGCAGTACCGCATTTCGTCTTCTGTCGAGGGCCTCTCCCAGCAGAATTGAAACAGTGAAGCAATGCTACCCAGGTTCTCAGTTCACATTGCCTTGATTACGTTTGCGATCAGTCTTATTCTCAAATCTTAGATTGTTCCTGTTCTGAATTGGTTTCACATCCGCAACAGCTCTGATTTAAGATCATTGACCGACTGTTGGTGGAGATAAACTGAGTGCTTTTCAACTAATGAAGTACAGGTTTGATCGGTCAAAATGTTTCACATCTGTTTGGCAGATACTGGTGCATGATAGCTGAATTGAAGACACATTTGACGATTTAGTTAAGCCAATACCGGTCACAGGATTTAATAATACTCAGAATTATTTGGTTTTTATCATAAAAATTGTGTTCATGAATTTTTTCGGAATGTGTTCCATATCAGCAATTTATCGCCTAATGTAACTCACAACAGAGTGATACCAATTAATGAGTAGGCCTCGGAATGAAAAAATGCATATTATCAAGAAACATGGCACCTGTAGGTGCGATATGATTATCGGCTTGAATAGTAATGTGCAAATTAACAACTGTGTTCCGTCAGCCTCTACTCTACTGCGGCTGGCTCCTTGGAAAGGATTAGCCGGCTCCAGACATGACAATGATCATGATCATAAAGTTACTTGGGAGTTTGGTACGAGAGACGTCTCCAGCGTCACTCGGCGTTTTTTATTTTGAGGGCACACCTCTAGCCTTTGCACAACCAAGTGAGAACTGCAAGGCAATAGGAATGAATCCCTCGCCTCAGAAGTCAGAAAGGGTCAATGAACTTAGTTTTAAAAGGTCAGTCATATCGACCTTTTTCACGACACCGTTACTGGACCTATGCGGCTTTTATAAAGAAACCAGGTTACCAGTCAGAAACTCACTACACCCTGGTAGTGCCGCCGCTGTTTGTCCGCGACTGCTTATTTGTTGCGATATGCCACAACTTATTCACAGCTAACCTTCTTTGGTAAAGTTATCTTCCTATCCACAACCCGGGGACGCGCCTGGTAGCATTCAGGTCTGCTTGACCCAAGGGTATCCTCCACTCGACCAAGATTAGTCGATCGTGCTTGAGCTAAGCTTCGTTTAGTTGACTGAGATATGCATCGACTTGTTCAGTGTTTTACTTTCGCTCGAATATTTTTTTTTGTAACAATAATTTAGTCTTCCTTGTTCCTCAAGTAATTTGCACATGATGCTTTCATAGCTTGTCTCAATTAAATGATGTATTTCTCATTTATCTGAATCTAGATGATATTTCAGACGGATCGTGGTACAAACACTTTTGTAACAAATGAATGATTTGTCCGTGGATATACTCTTAGGTTGCCCAGACTGGCGGTCTTCTTCGAGCATTTTACCTGTCAAGGCCTGACCCAACTCAATTTATTCTCTAAAAAAATTGTTTGCCCCTCTTGGGGGCCCAGAAAACTGCACAGGATGGATCTCACAGACTTGAGAAGTTCACAAGTAGAAGCCAAACAAAATGCAGTCTCACTGGATCAACCAATCGAATAACAATCGCCTCTTTAATTTAATCAGATATGTAGTATGTCGTAGTATGTCACCATGCCACTAAAAACTGACACAAGCATTCTATTGGCTAATAAACTTTTGCTAGATTGACGTGATACTTCCTCGAATGGCGCTCGTAAGAGACACGAATATCCATGAAGAGCAAGTAGGATTCCAACCAAATCGCGGCCGTATTGTCTAAATGTTCACTTTGAGGTACACCACACGCGTGGTAGACCAACGGTCGCTGTGAACCTTAATTCAAACAGAGCCTTCGACTCAGTTGATTGTGATCTTCGCAAATTGAGTGCCACAAAGTATAACGTATTGAGGTCAGTGTCCTAGCATGCTTCATATAGTATAGGGGTCTACAGCTAGCTAATCAGATCGTTCTAAATCACCAGCAGTGGTGTTTGTTAAGTGCACCCTCTCACCATTTTTGTACAATCTTAACTTGATAATAATAATGGAGAACGCAATTAGTGGTCTCCAAAATGTGGGTATCGAATGGACAGCTGGAGACAAGCTGTGTGCTTTGGAGTACACTGACGATATCATCTTTCCGTTAGAGAATGTATAGAGAATGCGCAAAGCACTCTTGATAGACTTCCAAGTTCTGCCTCCATCTGGCATGAGATTTGCACCTTAAAGGTTCAAAAGAATGCTACAAGACCAGATGCCGTCTACCTCAGGCTCTGATGCTTGACGGTCAAGAATTAAGTATAGTGGATTGTTTCTCCTACTTGTATGATGCGTGATAAATGACGACAGCATATCAAAGAAAGTAACCACTTGCGTTTCCAAGGCATGAGCAGCGTGCGCAGGACCGAGACACATTTAGCGCTGACGACGTTTCCTTAAAACAGCATCCCGTTGTTCAAAAACCAAAACATCAGTTGATCTTGTGTTCTTGCTTAATATAAAGTTTACAGCAAGTCAAAGCTCATCGACCGGTAGTAATTTTTACTTATCGAATGGAAAGAGCTATTCGCACTGTTATCGTGTCTGCTCAGAAATACAGCTTTGTTCAGGGCCTGTCTCTCGAGTGAAGCGTGAAGCAGTGTACCGCCTGAAGTGTTTTCGTTGCTACGGTTTTGCCACAGAATAATTTTACGAACTCTTCTTGTCACTGAAAGTAGTTGATGCGTAGTTTTTGCATGTAAAACTCACCTTTTCAGTGCCCGTACCGTTAACCCAGATATGATCGTCATTACCAAAAAAAATACAGAATAATTTTAACATACTGCATAGGCGGTGGTGGCCCGGTGGTGACATCACCAAATTATCACTCCGGAGGACGTGTTCCAATCTTAACGCCACCGCCTGGCTTTATCCACTGTTTTTTTTTGTATGGTAGCCCTTTAATTGTCTGCTTCCCTCTTCCTGAAAACTGTATCATCATCTATTCAATAAAAAAGGAACTAAAAATTGAAAAGAAAGAAAAAGATGAACATCATTTTGCGATATATTCTTTCTCAAATTTAGATAAGCTAACCAGAGCGAGTGGGGGGCTGGGTTGATCATGTAATTCGAGATCGTGGGCTGACATGTGCTCGGTCTTCACAATAGTCTGTCGAGTTCCACCATACCCCTCGACATAAATGAGGTTTCACTGGTTAACAGACGCGGAAATGATTAGCACCTGCCTCATTCATGTAGCTTGAATTGTACACACATCGGAAAGTTGATTCGTGTGCTCAAAGTCTCCCAAGGTAAATCAATTCACACGGTTAATTTTGATTACGCAATCGAGCAAAAGGATTCATCTGTGGCTTTTACTCGTTAGAACACACATTATCTTGCTTTTTTTCTACACATCCTGTTTCTTTGCGATTCCCTGTAAGTATGATTGCATGTGCTTTCGAACGAATTTGTTCGCCTACGGTGTGTTTTGAGGCAAACAATGGGCAGACTCCATGATTCGAAAAGGACCGGTTGTTTTGTAACTTTGATAACTGTGTGAGAAGGTTTCGTTGTTCTTTGTATTTGTTTTCAGTAATGAAAGCCGGATTTTGTTTATTTTTGCGGTTTCAGTTGCTTCTCATGTGAGACCTTGCTTGCATTGTCACATGTCACGTGTGCTTACGCTCGCAATCTTCCTAATCAACCTCCACTCATCCGAGGTATTTCCACAGTTGTTACCGTTCTCATCGAAACATCGATCGATGACTTGAAGTATTAATCAGTCATCGATTCAGTGGATTTTTGCTCACATGCAGTGTACACACATGCACCGAGACAGATGTTTGCGAATACGTATTTGTGTACTCGCGCATTCGCCGCCTGTCCGATCGAATTTACTGCAATAGAACAGACCGAGGCGAGCGTTACCGATAATCGTTAGCATGGGTGTGCTATTTATTCCATCGAGGAGGGGGGGGGGGAGCAATGACATACAACAGTTGCTTCTTGTGCGTCGGGTCAAGTTGACCTTGCACACCTATG